CCTCGTAGCGATCGCGATCGCACTCTTCGCAGACTCCCATGTCAATCGCCTAGGGATCAAAACCCAACCCCAACGCCATGACTCTCACTGACTCTGATCGTTTTGTCTCCGGGGCTAATTTTATATGCAAAAGTATTGCCACTCGAACTTTTTCAGATGTCTCCCTAATCTATTTATTGGTTCAATGATTCTTATTTATTGCTCGCCTTCCTTTTTGTTGTTTATTTCGATCATCTTCTTCTAAAGAATGTCTTTGACTCGTTGTTTGGTTCAAGATAAATTGATAAGCCGAGCTCGTTATCGTTATCAATCGCACAAGAGCATAACATCAATAGTGGTCAAGATTCGCCGTTCTCGAGTCATTCAACTGCACCCAGCTTCTTCAATACGATACGGAACCCCAAATAAAATAGCTCCCCAGGCCTGCACCAATTACCCCGTCGATCGATCGTCTGTCTGCCTGTTTGATCTCCCAGGTTGAAGCCACGAGAGCTACTTTGTATTAATCCCAGGCGTGAGATTAATTACCCGATTATCGGATTAATTTTGAACCATTTTTAATCATGTGATGTAGAACATGTTGAAGATCTCGAAATTGTAGCCGATCTCGATCCAATCCGATCCAAGAAGCTGCCGTAGTTTGTTGGGCAGAAAGAAGGAGGAGGAGAACAACAAGCAGCAGTAGCAGCAGCAGCAGCGGAAGAGGGGGCAGGGGGTAAAAAGGAAAGACAGAATGCTTTGCTGCGGCGTGCTGTTTGCTGGCCACTGCCGCAGATGCTCGCAGATGCACCGGAGTGGGGTTCGAACCACCTCCTCATGTCCATGCATGCATGCATGCCTGAGCTCGCGGGGATGCTGATGAATCAGGCAAGGCAGGGCTCGAGGGAGGGAGGGAGAGGGGCTCGGCAGATCTTCGACAGACGTCAAAGTCGTTTGGATTGAGGATTTAGGATTTAGGATTTATTGAGCGAGCGAGCGAGCGCTGTCGAGCGCAGGCGATCGATGCAAAAGGGGCAGTCTGGGGAATACTCCAAACTAGCGAATCCCGCACTGTGAGAGTGAAGCTTGCGCTTAATGAGGCATTCCAATTCCAAAAGGTGCGAGTCGAGTGCAACAAAAGAAGGAAACATAACACTCCAACCTTTCACATTCCGATGAAGCTCTAAATCACTCCCGAGTTCAGTTCATCCGAGTGCGATGGAGCATGGAGCATGGAGCATGGAGGCAACGTTTGATCTACCGACTGGCGGATGATGGAAAGAGGAAGATGCTAGGCTAGCGAGTCCTCCTAGTCTACCGGGGGCGTGGTACTCTCAAGACAAGAATGGGTGAGGGTGGGGTGACCGAACCCCAGCCAGCCTGCTCTAGCACATGTGGATTGGGGTACTCGAGTTGCCATGACTGGGGTTTTGTCATCTTTCCCATCAGCCCAGCCTACGAGCGGAGCACCTAAAATTCTGCGCCCTCCACAGCACCTACTGTACTGGAACATCTGCTTCCGCTAAGGGCTCTTGCTGTTGCTGTGTTGCTAAGCGAGCTCTTTCCCAGTCAAATCCCCCATCTGGAAGACGCCTGCGAAAGTCCGAGGAATCTGATTTTGTGTTTTGGACCCTCCTTGTCATTTAATCTCCCACTGATTCACGAGAAAGAGATCATAACAAGATGCCAAACCCTTCGGTGTATGTACATACATACAACTTACAGCAACCAGCCAGCCTTCATCAGACAGCCAGACAGCCAGCCAGCCAGCCAGACACTCGCCCATATGAACATCCTTTCATCATTGAAAAAAGGAGGACGATCGGTCAATGCGAAGCTATTCAACATACGTATCTAAGGGCGGTATGTAGGCGGTGCACTGCACTGCTGCCCCTGCCCCTGCTCGGCTCAGCTCGGCTCAGCTCAGGCTGCTGCTGCCCATGGCTGATGGTAACGTAAAGCCCAGCTTTTCTGGAGTTGCTTCCAGATCACATGGCTTTTTACTATGCTGACTTTTCGTGCTCCACCTTCCCTTCGATCGTCGCTTGTCTCTTCACTTCTCGAAGGAAAGTTCCATTTAAGTACGCAGCAGCAGCCGCTGCTGCTGCTGCTATGGCTCTGTGGAAGAAGATCTGCTCTTTACTACACTAAGAGCAGGAGGGAGTATTATGTCCACAATGGTCTGGAGTGCTGTGAGTGCGGCCATCAGACACTCATCAAATGCACCGGAAGCCGGAACAATGGCTGCTATTAGCACTGATCCAAGTGTCAAGCCTTGTGCAGTAGAGCCAGGGAGCAAGACTTTCATGATGAGGCCTACCTAGAGAGGGCGAGAACGGGGCGAAGGAGGCAAAAGCGGCAAAAGCTGATCGATGATGTTTTTATATTCTTCGCCTATAAGTGGGAGGGACGGGGGAAAAGGGCGCAAAAGTGGACATGTATTCTCATCTAGCGTGAGATTCATTCCGGAGCTGCCACTCGAGTACTGTCGCGGTTTTTGCATCGTGTTGTCCCGAGGAAATACCCCGAATTTTCTATCGCCCCGCAAACCCAGTTCATGATTGAGCCGTGCCGCAATCTATTCTTTTTTAACCGCATTCAATATGCTCCTCTAGCTAGGATAAACCCCGGTTCCTTAGCCCATGATGCCCTCACCACGTGGGTTGTAGACCTTGCGCCCCCCACCTCAACTCGCTCCATTCTCCATATCATGAACCCGCTCACGAGGACTTGTAGAGTTACAGAATAGATCCAATGATTTCCAAATTGTAATTTCGCCTTAATGTTCAGCGAGCACGCCCTAAGCCCATTCATCCATCATCCATTCAGACCAACTGCCCCTTCTTCGACTTCAGGCCAGCCCGGCACCCCCCTTCGCGGTTTAGGCCTAGCTAGACCAGTCAAGCGAGACTTGGGGGGGGGGGGGGGGACTACACAAGGCGCTACTTTGGGGGCCTAGGCCAGGAGCTCGTGAATTATTACCGGACTGGAGAATTATACACCTCTCTCTACCTTTCCGCCACTCACCTGCTCCTGAGTCCTGGCCGAGCTCGCTGCTTGAGTCTTCGCAGCCCAGATCGCGTCATTTGCTCGAGAGGTGGAATGATTAATCGACTGGAAATCATGTTTTTCGGGGACGTAAATCTCGTCATCAGAAGTGGTAGGGTTTCATAAATGAGTCATTCTATCATTTCCATTTTGTAAAGCTGCTGCATTTCCCTGTAACCACTCCCATGATCCCACCCCATCCCATCCAGCAGCAGTCAGTCAGTCTCCTTCACCTCTAGTAGCTAGACTCCGGGGTCCTTGTGGTAAGACCGACTTTTCTCGGAGGTTAGAGATGGGGTTAAACTTTAACCTCACCCGATGGGCTAAATGATAGTGCCTCTAACATTAAGAGGGTCGGTTTGTTGCGTTGTTGTTGGCCACTTTTGTCATCGGACCTGGTAGACTGACATGGTAAAGTTGGGTCCTTAATTTCCTTCTTGCACAACTCACTCGCCTTGCCCTGCCTTGACTTGAATTGGGCTGTGAGCAGCACGCCCCTGTCCAGCCCGAACGACCAACCGTGGTAAGCGAGAGACTGCAAGAGACTGACAGCAGATTTTCTCTTTTGGCCCCATGCTCTTCAGTGGACCATGTGAATTTCGTTACGAAGCTGTTATAAGATGGCCATGTGGTCGGTGGTGCAACTACAGTTTGGGCTCCTTGTTTGGCAAATGCGCCCAAATTCTCCGACCTTTTGGACGCTCTCCTGGCTCCAAACTTCACCATCCGGCGCATTTTGCTTTTCCCCGATCCGAACATTTTCCTCCCATTTTAAAAGCCCAAAAGGCAAACGTAGGGGGAACAAACTTCCGTCCCCTGCTACTACTCTGGCTGCCGAACTCTGGTTCGTGCCAACGAGCTACTACAACTACAACTACTATACGAGTAGTGCTAGTTCCTACGTCGTTGCAACAACGACTCGCTTAGCCTACGTGGTAACTACCACTCTAACCGAGTAGGCCCTGTCTCGGGCTCGGTCTAGGCCCGCAGCCAGCCCGCAAAAGGCGCACCCGGTTACTTGTGGCCTTGATTGGCACTGGCATCATTGAAGGGCAGCATGTGATGGAAAGGTTGTTCATTAGTGGCGAACTACTGACGGTTTGCCTGCGCATCCCGCTTTCAAGCGATCCATCGAGAAATCTACGTAGAACTCTTGCTCTAGTCAATTATGCTCAGACAACGAGCAGCAGCAGCAGCAGTAGCAGCAGAGCTTCAAAGGCCCAATCGCGGTCAAATTGTCAGTGCGCTGCGGGCCAATCATGCTGGCTCGCTTCACACTGGCCCCGGTAAGGTATTCTCATTGCTATTTATGTTATCATGTCGTGATATGATTCTCCCGGTTCTCATCGTAAGCTGGCCCTATGATTTTGGCAAATTCAGAGGCGAGTCCAGTCCAGTCCAGCACAGTCCAGACTCCAGGCCAGGCCAGCTCGTTTCGATCCGTGAGCCCGTAGCTCGGAACAACACAGCTCTACTCTACTGCTCTCTCCTCGGCCCTGCTCTGGTCTCCTACTCGACCCGAGCGAGCCGAAATAAAACAAAATCGAACTGTAGAGTTACTCCATGCCGGACCTACGGACATGAGTCTCTCTGGTTCTTTCGCGAGCAGTCGTAGTAGAAGCAGTTCTGGCAACAGAGAGTGGTGGGTTCATCGATAATGATCTTTCCAGAAGAGCGAAATCCGTTTCCAGCACGGATGCGATGCATTGCTTTGCATTGCATTGCATTGAGCTGCGCTGTGGCGACTACCCACTGGAGCAGACGGACTCGAGTTGACTACACCCTGACCGAGGTCTCAGTTCGAACTGGAGTCAACTCGACCTCGGCCCGATCCCGAGCCCCCACCCTTTTGTCCGGCGGACGCACCTTGGCATACCGCCATGCACTCGCCGGTGGTCCGCAGAGGAGGCCGGTCCGACGGTCGCTCCGTCGACTCGTTCGTTCCTTCGGTCGATCGACCGTTCGCGGTTAGGGAATAAAGGCGACGACGAAGACGTAGCACGAGTCGCAGAGTAAGATACGCGAGTCAAAGCGAGAGTGAGTGCGCGACGAATGGACGAGAGCGGGCGAGAGCGGACGCAGCGAGCGAAGATGCCCGATGGATGAATCCGGGCGGGTGACGACCGGGCGGGCCGTAAAATGATGTGCCCCGCTGTGACTCGGGATAAAAGCCATTAAGATAAGGATTTCTGGGCGACGAACCGAGGATCCGAAGACCAGCGAACGGAATTGGAAAAACGTTTTGCTTGTCTTTTTGCCCATATGGTCGCCATGTGATCTACGAGTGTATTTTACAGTTGCTTGTCGCCCATCGTCCGTAGTGGTAGTAGTTGCGCCCTAGAATATACTAAAATATAAAAACGGTCAAACGGAGAGGGTGGATCGGAATGTGGAATGTTACCCTCATACGGTGTCTCTGGGCGCCCTGCCATTCAATACGCCTCTGTTGACCTCATTAATCCGCTCTGAATATTCACGCATTTCATTCGCCTGAGGCTCATTTTCGTGATTATTGTCCATTTTATTTGTGCGATTTTTTATGGCGATTGTGCAGCCTTTTAGTCCTGCTCGAGCTCTCTCTCACTGTTCATTTCACTTCACTTCTTCTGCGCGCCTGGAATATGGAGAATGTAACCGAAATGAGATACTGTGTTCTCCACGTCACACCTCAGAAAGAACCTTTCTCTGCCCGGGACTTTCAAAATGTGAAGCTCGCACCGTCGCATTTAAACTACGGCGAGAATTGTATTTTTCTCCTGACGGTTCGCGACTGTTCATTCGTGCCCACTGTTCAACATTTTGCTGCTATCTGCTAAGCTTGCATCACTAAGTTATGGAGGCAAACCTAGTTTAATCCAGTCAACTTGCATCTGCCAATGAGGGGGAGAGCCACCTAATGACGCATCATAATTATTGATCAAGATTACATGTTTACTTAGATCAATGGCATTACATTGTGGGCCTTCTTCTTCCCTCTGCTGAGATCAAGTGAGGTACGTTTCCAATAGTCTTGAGAACATGTATGTCACAAGGTATTGGTCAGTGTCATGACCAAAGTGAGGTGACTCCATGATGAACTAATTCCTTACCCTGCATTTACATGCCCTCACAATTCTAATCTTAAGCCTACGGTAGCAAAAGACTTCCACGTCAGCTCGATGGGCCATATGTCCCACTAGTCTTTATCAGAGTAAATAATTATACAGAATAAACTCGGTTGCTCAAATGTTTTCTGATAATACATGATAGTGAAAAAAAATTGTAATGCAAGCATATTTTGTTTGACCAGTTTGGAGATCTATCCCTATTCCATTCTTGCCTCTCATAGAAATCTTAATTCTTCACGAGCAAACCATTGTTTAATATTTTTACTTCTTGTGCTTCTACCAGGTCGATATGATTCCTCTCTTGAATTCCATAGTCCGCTACATCTTAGAAACTCACCCTTTTGTTTGAAGTATGGGTGTTGAAGGAATATCGATCTCTGCCGATGCTTATCCAAAATTCATGTGTAACTAAAATCCATACAGGATGCAGAAAATCTGCGAATGGTACTCGGAGGAGAGTTAGATTCATGCAAAATCTGATGCGGCTTCCAGCGGCCATCTTAGTGTAAGAAAGCCAGTACTTCTGAGAACTCCCTGTAGAAGTAGCCTCCGTGCGGCATAAAAGGCAGTGAAAATTCTGAAATTTTGTGTTATCACTTTACAAAGATAATCATCGTTTATAATCTCTCTAACTTAGACTACGCAATATTTCATCAGTATACGTAAAACAGAAATGATTTTTCCCAGTTGATAGAATTTAAACTTTGCTGTTGAATACACCTTTGAGAACACCTTCAAAATACTACAGCGAGCGATGAAGTAAAATGAAAAATTTGGAAGACGGAGGGTAACAAGATATATATTTCTACTTACCAAAGTGGAGATCTGCATTTGCAAACAGATCATCAAAGTTTTTGAGCACATTGAGAGTACGTAGCTGTAGTCACATCGCACTAGGAACGAATGTGCACATGTACATGTTAACATTCATAGTCTTAAGATGTACCAATAAGCGGGGACTAATCTTCAAGCTTGATGGATTGATGATTTTAGTCTGCAATACGAAGCAGAGATAGCCGGAGTTCAGTGAATGCCAAAGGTATCCATTCACTTATATTTTTGTAAACCAACATTGCTTTGTCCATATTCAGTGATCTAAAGCTTGCCTTATTGACGATACGATGTGAAATGTACACAACTACTTTCACTAGGTTAAAAAGAGGCATGGTGTGGTGTTCTCTAATACGCGACGTTCTAATGGACTTTGTGTTGACCATTTTACCCCTCTTCGCCAAACATCATGTTGATTGCAAATAAAAGCACATGAAATGCAACTACATGTTTTAAATTCGTGAAAAACAGCATGAATAATGAATAATGAAACTTCTGTACACAGTTCTTTTGACTCGGTCCTAAGTAGACACGTTGAGAATCTTGTTGAGAAAGTGTTGATGATCGAAATACTTGTTATATAGATATACTTTGGATTGACAAAGTTTTGTTCCTCGTAAGTCTTGTTTCTTTTTGCAGATTTTAAGGCTTAAGCATGAAAACCTAGAAAGAGAAACAAGTCTTGCGAATCATCTCCACGGCTAACACCGTAAGCACGTGTAACTTCTAGCACACAAACAAACAATCTCATGAGACACCTCCTGTAACTCACCCCACTCTCAGAGCATATACCGTAATCAATCCCTGGCCTTATTTCTAAACAAAGAATTTGTGCTTACTAACTGTTCTCACCACTTTTCGTCTTATTTCCAACAACAACAAAAATAAGAAATGGCATACGGGTTGACATTCCTGCCAATATTGTTTCCCCATGTTTAACCTTCGGTTCGCCTGGAAAAGGCTGGAGTCCTATAGTGGGTACGAAAGTCGTGTGCTAATTGTGTAGTGTGATAGTTACCTGAAGAGAGGATTAGTGTGCCTTGGGTATATACAAGGCTATTTCGTGTAATGTGTATGTCAATCATAAATCCAAGACAAGCATATCTCGAACCGGTTTGCGTCCATCGCTCTTACATCACCATCTGCCAGCAAATACCGAGGACGTAAAACTTCACAATTGGTTTTGCAGTCTCTTACTTGTGCAGATCATTTTAACCAGAGGAGAAAATCCGAGCTCTACAAACACATTCAAACAATAAATTAAAGTGGTGAACAAGAGCAGGAGATGGAGTTTACGTGTATATCCTACATACCTCCACTTCCTTGCGGGAGAAAAACGATCCTCGCAGGGCTTATCAGGGACAGATATACTATTCTAGTGGAGGGACTCGCCATTGGAGGAGACCAGGGTCCGGTCAATATGCAAACTACGCGGTTTAGGGCGAAGGCCACTTAGTAGTAGACAGGTGTTAGAGCAGGCCGAAGGTCCTCCTCCAACAGAAGAAAACAATACATCATGGACGTACAGAAAATCCAAATGGGCTCCTGTTGGTGCCGCCCTCTTTCCCTAACTTTTCTCTCTCCCTCACATTTTGCAAACGGTCGGTTTTGGTCGGTCTCGTGCTCTCGGTTCGAGTAATATCGCACAACCCTATCGCCGAGCCTAGGCCCAGATCGGATTCAAGATCCTGTCGCTCGCTCGCGCACACACATTTGTTCGCCGCTCGCTCGCCGTCCGTCCTTGCCAAGGACTCCGTCGTCTCGATCGTCCTTGCAAAAGGTCGAGGGTCCGTCCTCAAGCAGCCGACGAGACGCTGTACAGTAGCTGGGCTGGGGTCGAGCTTTTGGAGATTAAAATATTGTAAAGGGCGATGGTCAAGTTAGTTACGTCATGACAGAGTTTGAGTTCGTGGGAGGGCTTGTCTTTCGGACCGGATCCACGAGTTAAGAAGAAAAGGGGTCGCAGGCCCGAAGACCTTCTCGAGAGGTCCAACAAATTGTACCAATGAATGCCCGAGGGGGAGTTATATTCCTCGCTCTTTTCTTTGTCTTTTCTGGAAAGATTAAAAAACAGAAGCGACTGGACTCCGAGCGGGAGATAAATACTTGTCCGCCTCGTGTGATGTAATGTCAAAGCATAGGAGAAGCCAATGTTTTGGCATCAGCCGGTAGATTCGCGAGCGAGTGGCAGCTTGCATCAAAGAGAGAAGGTGATGCAATAAGAGGATAGTGTTTTTCTCGAGTGCTGCATTGCATCAATTGGTGGATCCTTCTCTTGCGCTTCATGGATCTATGGCTGCCCGCCCCACATGAGACATTCCTTCACTAGTCACGTACTTGGGAATTCTCACAAAAAGCAATAGAACACGGTCCAAGTCATGTAGAATGTGCAGTGAAGCTAGAGCTGTGCTGTGTTGTGTTAGTTGGACAGTCCACACCATTCCTTCCCAGAGGCTGCACATTTCCAGTTTACTATATGCATATAGTAATCACATCCCGATGCGGTAACCGGCCTGCTGCGAGGCGGACGTATCTGAGGCGCGGCCTTCTTCATCTGTCAGTCGTCTCCCAGGGGGGCAGTAATGTGTATGATGATGAGGAGATTTGGGCCATCCAGTTCTCCGCACGTGTCGTGCGTTGGTTAGTTGTTGTTGTTGTTGGTACTCGCTTAACATGATGATTAATAGGACGTATAGTAAGAATGATAATTACCGTCACCATTCGGTGGTATGAAATGTGCAATTATCGATAAAGTACAGTAGCTCGATTAGATTAAACAGTTTTCTTAAGTGAGATGGACTTTCTTGAAGTTGAAGAAGTTAGTTGGTGTACCACTGTGTATATCATCACACGCAGATGAATCAACTAAGATTCCTCCCAAGACTAATTTAGTTGTGACAGTAGAAGCCTTCACCTTGACTTGGAGTTTGGGAAATCACATTCAGCGGATGAATAGTCCTTGATTAAATACTCATTAGTTTTTGGCATCTTAATAAACGATAAGGATCATTCACATAGAAGCTACTCCAGCAGTGGAGTTACTATTGCCATATTGACTTAAAACCGTTGAATAAATAAACAATTCGAGTATAAATGTGTGCGTGTATATTTATAAATAGATTTGTGTAGACTTCCTCATCGGAGCATCGGCCCGGCTGACTGGGAAAAAGCGTTCGCTTCATATGACAGCACAATCTATAATCCAGATGAACCTGCTGGAGATGTGTGAGGATCTCGTGTCTTGGAAAAAACATGCTCGTTCCATATCCCTAAAAACAAGGCAGATCAGGCCCCGGCCCCCTTTTGCGCTCTTCTCATATATACTCATAGTCGGAGTTCGAGAGCCCGAGAAAACTGCAAATTTTCATGACACGAGCCCGGAGGCCCCCATCTTTATAGTGGGGCAATTAGTGGGCACCCCAAGTACAGAAGGGATGAAGGTACTCGTCGTCGTTTGCTCGCCGCTTTACATTCCATCAAGCTTTGGACATAATCATGGCTTCTCCTCCCGCTCGCCCCTCGCTCGCTTTGCCTCTCATTCTCCCCACTCTCCTCGCCTCCCCGGGGGCCGGTCCGGTACTTCCCTCGTAGACGACCTGCGGTCCGGCTTGTCGTACCGGTCAAGCCGGCCGCTGCGAAGACGTTGCTTCAATGGCCAGCCCCATAAAGGTGTGCGTATCACGTACCCTCTCTACGAACATACAATCAAGATCGGTCGCCGAGTGATGCCATGGTGACCTCGGAGGCCTTGGAACGACTACAGAGGTATGGGACGATCGGAGTGTGCGAGCATACGTACATGCAGGCAGGCAGGCGAAGGCAAGTGTGGGGGTGGCGGGCACGAGTCACCACAGTAGACTCGCAGATTAAAGTGGAAAAACATCATTCTCGGGAAATTTACTTTCGACCACCCAAGATACGAGATGCAAGATCTGCTGGTCTGTACGTAGAATACGGACGCGCACACTAGCACGCAGCGCAGCGCAGCGCAGCGCAGTGGCCGAAGCAGCAGCAGCAAGCGAGTTTCCTCTCCGCTGCCTTCTTCTTCCTCCCTTCGTTGTTGTTGTTGTTGGTGTTGGGTTCCCAAAAAACTACTCGTATGTAAGCTTGAGCTCATCTGCTGATGCTTAAATGGAATTTAATATGCCTTTGCGAAGTCCATTGGTCTCTTTGAGAGATGAGAGAGAAACAAACAATATTTCCCTCACGCACTCTCGCGGTGCCAATCATCACTCGATTTGTACGTGATATTTTCCAACTGTTCGCGAGAGAGAGAGTGAGAGGCAAAGCAGGTCGTGACTCATGAGTGAGCCAGAGGTGTTGTTGTGTATGTCTCGTCCCTCGCCTCCCCTCCCCGGCCTCCAGGGAGCAGAAAGCACCGGGAAAAGTTGAACAGCTCCATGAAACTTCCCAACAGCCCCAAAGCCACCAAAGGCCGCATGACATATCTACAGCATCCAAGAGTACGACCTTGCTCGACCGACCGTGTACTGAGCTAAGGCCGCCATCACCTCAGCCCTAGTCCCAGCTGATGAAACATTCGCGCAACATTTTCCCGTTGTGCAGCCCATCTCATCTTCTTTTTAGAAATAGCAAAAACCAAGCATCATGAGTATAACTGAAGATGATTCAATGAACTCTAATTTTGAAGAAATTGTTCCACGTATGTGCATCAGTTGTAAAAGTTGTGATTTTTGGAAAATTTATTGCTCGTCCACTTTTGTAATTGAACAAAGTCAGAGATTCATTAGATTGATTGCTGTTGGTGTGTTCGAATCGCACTTTTATTATCATTACATGATCTTGTAACATCATTAACACTTCTAGCAATATAATCCAGCACCCCATTTTAGACTTGTCACGACATGAGATTGTGAGTCAATATAGTCAGGCAAGGAACTCTACATATTCTTGCATGTTGGAATGTCTTGGTTATGGCAGTGGGAGAACGCTTTTTAATAAAGTCCCAAGTCCATCTACGTAAATAGCTAAAAGATGTTATAGACTTTTTTCTGGATTTATTCATCATGAAACATCAAATGAAATGATTTATTCATTTCATACGATGTTTCCAAATTTAGATATTCTCTTCTTATTTTCCATGGCTCTTATAGGATTCATTCTTTTTCAGCTCATTTTTCAAGTCTACTAGGAGATTCTTTATAAATCATGTATCTTATGTCAACTCTGAACGTGCCACTACTTAATAGATAGTACACATATTGTGGTTCTTGTAGATCACATTAGATACGAATTTGTTTGATCATGATTAAAATCTGTTTTGTTGATTATTTAATAGATGTGTCGCTGTGTAGAACATGCTTTTGTTCAAACAATGCTTCCTCATTTTTTCTTTCGAAGATATGTATAGCATCAATAGACTGCTAACATATTCTGCAAGTGATAGTAGATGTTCAAATCTTGCTATTGGTGACAAAGTCATACATTTTATTTTGGCAAAATAATTTGTTTTTTTGGCATGAACTTCATTTGCAATACTTCTTTTTTTCTAGAAATCACCAAATGGCATTTGATATTTATAATACTTCATTTCGATATTTTATACTTGTAATTCTTACTTATTTCTCACAAAAATTTCTTTGGATTCAATGTTACAACTTTTGGATATCGTTAATATGAAAATCATATGCAATATTGGCAACATCATCAAACCATGAGCTTTTTAGATATATGAAAGGACATTTGATATGGAGAAAAACACTTATTTCAATGTCGTGTGAAAGGATAGACTTATCATCTACACACAACCTTGGAGATATATCCAATTTATTTGGTCAACATTCTTGTAATTTTATTGATTTTTGAGCGCAATTGATCCATCTTGAAGATTGTATGCTAGGAACACGGTTGTGTATCATTTTTTACATGGACTGTTTTGGTGGATAAGAAATGCTTAAGACATTGTCACTTTCACCACCTATTTGACTTGAGACCTATGGTCAAAATTGATTAACAACAACATCACTCTCTCTTATTGGATACGATACTTCATTCACTAGTAACGCTACTCTACATATTTTCTCTGAAAAAGTTGCGAGCGCGTGGATAAATGCTCGATTGTGGATCAAATTACTGTGCTTTGCACCAGCTACCTTTTCTATAACCACGAGATTATGCTCTAGGTTGGTACAACTAGACATATCACATGTGACTGTGGTATCACATTAATTCCAACGAGGATCAAACAAATTGTCCAGTTGAACTGCATAAGATAGGTAAGTATCGTTTCCATTAGGCATGTACCGTCGGGTTCAGGTGTTTATATCAACCACGTACGTTAATGCGGTATTCCCATAAACTTTTGGTTAAATTAATCGGTTGTTTGGAGTTTAAAAAGGAGTGGTGAGGAGAAATAAGTGGACAAATATGAATAAACTGCATTAACCAAGAGAGCGAGATTACCACCAACTGGCGTTGGAGACGTTGCCTTCTCTCACGACACAGGAGATAGGATCCTAGTCGGGCGTCCAAACTATTTGCGCTACGCTTGCTCTGGGCCAATAAGTCGGCCGATGAGTGCGCTGGCTGGCTCACTTG